TGGTGGCCTTCTATGATGGGGTTACAGCTTTAGTGGATAAGGGAAGAGTGACAGACGTCGTCTACCTGGACTTGTGCAAGGCATTTGACACTGTCCTGCATCCTAAATTGGAGAGACGTGGATTCAATGGATGGACCACTCAGTGGATAAGGAATTGGCTGGATGGTTGCACTCAAAGAGTTGTGGTCAACGGCTCAATGTCCAAGTGGACGAGTGGCATTCCTCAGGGGTCGGTGCTGGGACCAGCACTGTGTAATGTCTTTGTCAGCAACATGGACAGTGGGATTGAGTGCACCCTCAGCAAGTTTGCTGATGACACCAAGCTGTGTGGTGTGGTCAACACATTGGAGGGAAGGGATGCCATCCAGAAGGACCTTGACAGGCTGGACAGGTGGGCCCGTGTGAACTTTCTGAAATTCAGCAAGGCCAAATGCAAGGTCCTGCACATGGGTTGGCACAATCCCAAGCACAACTAGAGGCTGGGCAGAGAATGGATTGAAAGCAGCCCTGAGGAGAAGGACTTTGGGGTATTGATTGATGAAAAGCTCAACATGAGCCAGCAGTGTGCGCTAGCAGCCAAAAAAGCCAGCCGTGTCCTGGGCTGCATCAGAAAACAGCTTCACCAGCAGGTCGAGGGAGGTAATTCTGCCCCTCTACTCTGGTCTTGTGAGACCCGACCTAAAGTACTGCATCCAGCTATGGGGTCCCCAGTACAAGGAAGACATGGACCTCTTGGAGTCAGTCCAGAGGAGGGCCATGAAGGTGATCAGAGGGCTGGAGCACCTTTCCTGTGTAGGACAGGCTGAGAGAGCTGGGGTTGTTCAGCCTGGAGAAGGGAAGGCTCTGTGGAGACCTTATAGCAGCCTTCCAGAACCTAAAGGGGACCTACAGGAAAGCTGGAGAGGGACAGTTTGCATGGGCATGTAGTGATAGGATGAGGGTTAATGGGTTTAAACTAAAAGAGGGAAGATTTAGATTAGATGTTAGGAAGAAATTCTTTACTGTGAGGGTGGTGAGGCACTGGAACAGGTTGCCCAGAGAGGTTGTGGATTCCCCATCCCTGGAAGTGTTTAGGCCAGGTTGGATGGGGCTTTGGGGGGGCTTGGGGCAACCTGTTCTAGTGGAGGATGTCCCTGCCCATGGCAGGGAGGTTGGAACTAGACGATCTTTGAAGTCCCCTCCAACCCAAACCATTCTGTGATTCTATGATATAGTTTCACAAGTTCCAAATAAAGGGGCAGAATTACTTCACCCTACCCACTAGTTACATTCTTAGTAATGCATCCCACCATGCAGTAGGCCTTTTTGACTGCAGGAGTACACTGTATAGGCTCTTGTGTGCTCCTATTTGATGTGACCATCAGAATCCAACTTTTTTTCTATAAATCTGCTCACCAACCAGTCCCTCTCAAAATGTCCTGCTCTATGGAGTTATTCTTTCCCAGTGCCAGACTTCGCGTTTGCCTTTGAACTTCATACGGTTCCTGTCAGCCAGTTTCTCTGGCCTATAAAAGTACATCTGAAAGGCAGCCCTGCCCTCCAGCATGTCAGCTTGCTTGCCAGCTTCATCTGTGAACTTCCCTGTATCCTTTTGTTACTTTCATAATACTTGACTCTCTCACTGCATATGTAACTACGATATAAACAAATGTCGTTTATGAAATACCTTTATTAGTTTTAAAACTTCTTGGAAGCACGTGTTCAAACAGCAGAAGTTTTCCAAAAGCGGGAATGAATAAATAGGTAGTTTTCATTTCTTTCCACTTGAAGGGTAATGCAGCCTTATTTACTGTAACTTAAAAAGTGCCATGGGTATAGCACAGATCATTCCAAACATATATTTGAGCTATGGTAAACTTTACCATATAGAATCTTGGGATGAAACCTATTTTAGCATGTTCCCCAAAGTACCTTCTGTTTTAAAGAACACTATGTGATGTTCTACCTGCAAATTTATCTTCAGCTATTTCAGAGAACAGTTTTCAATTTAGTAAAACAGAAGAAAGAATTTTGACCACAGAAACATTTGTATTTATTTTTTAGAAAAAACGATGTAGTAGCTGAGGGTGAAGAACAGTCAGTTCTTAAGAGAAAGTAGTATTCAGATCAAATTAATCTCTTACTGTTTCGGTGCATGTAAAGATTTATGTTTGGTCATGATCGCAGTAAACTAAGGTGATAGTTCCACCTCCATTACTGTAATCTGATTTTAAACTAGATCTCTTTACCATTTTATGCCATTATATGCACAGTATATGTTGTGTGACACAAGAAAGAAGTGAGAGGTCAGAACTGGGTCTTCTGTCTTCATAAGATTCGATAAATATCTTATTAATTACTCTTTTAATTGTCAAAAATGTAACAGAAATGCCTGATGTTCTGATGATGGATCAAAGAGCAAGAAGAGAATGCAGGTTTTCTTACTCCTCCATATCTAGAATTGGAAGTAAAACTGAACACTTTC